TTTCGTCGCAGTTTTTGTTTTTTCATTAGAGAGATTAAGGAATGAAACAAGGGTAGAAGGATGGGGAATTTAATTCTCCATCGAACAGCGTTGGTTTTATTCCTTAATGATAATTAGGAGGGGAGAGACGATGTTTTAATTAGCNAGAAAGTCACGGCGCTATAAGAAACCCTATGTTTTCTCGGCGCAGAGTGACTCCCCATTAATTCGCCCGCTAATTAAAAAATCGTCTCTCCCCTCCTAATTAACAGTAAGGAATGAAACCAACACTGTTCGATGGAGAATTCAATTCCCCATCCTTCAACCCGCGTTTCATCCCTTAATCTCTGTAATGAAAAAATAAAAACTGCGACGAATGTCGCGGCGCTATGAAAAACCTAATGGGTTCTCAGCGCAGTGAATCCCGACAACTCGGCCGCTAATTAAAAAATTGTCTCTCCCCTCCTAATTAAAGTTAAGGAATGANCTGCGCCGATAAACGATTGAGTTTTTCATAGCACCGCGACTTTCGTCGCAGTTTTTATTTTTTCANGTTCTCAGCGCAGTGAATCCCGACAACTCGGCCGCTAATTAAAAAATTGTCTCTCCCCTCCTAATTAAAGTTAAGGAATGAAACCAATGCTATTCGATGGAGAATTAAATTCCCCATCCTTTAACCCCCGTTTCATTCCTTAATCTCTGTAATGAAAAAATAAAAATTGCGACGAAAGTCGCGGCGCTATGAAAATTCCTTAATGTTAATTAGGAGAAAAGAGACGATTTTTTAATTAGCGGGCGAATTAATGGGGAAGCACTCTGCGCCGAGAAACCATTGAGTTTCTCATAGCGCCGCTACTTTCGTCGCAGTTTTTATTTTTTCATTACAGAGATTAAGGAATGAAACGGGGGTTGAAGGATGGGGAATTTAATTCTCCATCGAACAGCATTGGTTTCATTCCTTAATGTTAATTAGGAGCAGAGATACGATTTTTTAATTAGCGGGCGAGTTGTCGGGAGTCACTGCGCCGAGAAACCATTAGGTTTTTCATAGCGCCGCGACTTTCGTCGCAGTTTTTATTTTTTTATTACAGAGATTAAGAGATGAAACGGGGGTTGATGGATGGGGAATTTAATTCTCCATCGAACAGCATTGGTTTCATTCCTTAATGTTAATTAGGAGCAGAGATACGATTTTTTAATTAGCGGGCGAGTTGTCGGGAGTCACTGCGCCGAGAAACCATTAGGTTTTTCATAGCGCCGCGACTTTCGTCGCAGTTTTTAGTTTTTCATTACACAGATTAAGGAATGAACCGGAGGTTGAAGGATGGGGAATTGAATTCTCCATAGAACAGTATTGGTTTCATTCCTTAATGTTAATTAGGAGGGGGGAGACGATTTTTTAATTAGCGGGCGAATTAATGGGGAGTCACTCTGCGCCGAGAAACCATTGAGTTTTTCATAGCACCGCGACTTTCGTCGCAGTTTTTGTTTTTTCATTAGAGAGATTAAGGAATGAAACAAGGGTAGAAGGATGGGGAATTTAATTCTCCATCGAACAGCGTTGGTTTTATTCCTTAATGATAATTAGGAGGGGAGAGACGATGTTTTAATTAGCGGGCGAATTAATGGAGAGTCACTCTGCGCCGATAAACGATTGAGTTTTTCATAGCACCGCGACTTTCGTCGCAGTTTTTATTTTTTCATTACAGAGATTAAAGAATGAAACGGGGGTTCCAATGTGATGTTTCAAATTCATTCAAGTATGTATAAATACAATTTTTCTAATAACGTGTCGAAGGGCTGAGGGGGGAGATAGAACCGTAAGTAAAGACAATCAGTTGTACAGAAGAAAGGGATAAGAAGAATAATGACGATGATAACATTGATTCAAGTTGAAAAACGGACAAAATAAGTTTAAAAAAAACTTATTTAATTTAATAAAATGAGATACACAATGAATTAAACGTGATAAAAGAAAATTATGTAGAAAATTTGGAAGAGTATTGCTAATTTATTACCAAAAATAACTATACTGTATGTGCTACAAGAGCAATTTTTAACTTGTTTAAAACAGATATTGTTCTATTGAAAAATATCCCCAGCAGCATAACCCCCGACTTTTGAAACTCTCATAGTAGTATCCCCTTAACGCGCTATAATTCAAATCCACCGCGCCAGTGCACGGTAAAAGCACGACGATGGAACTATGCTGGTGATATCTCTACAGTCGGTAATTTTACTCAGATGGTAACAGATAAATCAATATCAGTTCGGACAAAACGAAATTTTGTCTTCGTTGATTCTTGCGCGAAAACAAAATTGGTTGTCCATATAAATAATCTTTTTTCAAAAGTCACTTAAATAAGTGTATTCACGTCAATAGGCTGTTTTCATTGATTTCTCCATAGGTGTAATATCGTAAGCTATTATCGTTGTTATGAAATTTTTTTTCTTCTCCATTTGCTCGCACAAAATAATTCTTGAACCGAAAGCGTGTTAGACTATAGATATGCTACATTTTTTTATATTATTGTCATCAGTTCTATCGCCGTTTATGATGCCGAACCTTTCAATATTTTCAATGATCCCTAGTTCAGATTTATATAAACTTGAGAATATGTATCCATCGATAGAAAACAGTGCAGATCATTCATTGAATACACTATTTTGCGTAAAGATGTTATGAGGTTTGGGATTTAATAAATATTCGGAATTCAATTATTGTAGAGTTATGAGTATTGTGTGGAACAATCCTAATATATGGAAATGAATTCCTACAAACATTATCCATCATCAAAAATCAATTAAATTCTAAAAACATTAGTCATTCTCTCCATCTTCACTCAATTTTCCATGGACAATTTAGTAATACAGTCCTTATAACGAACAATAAAAGCAATTTTCCTTATAATAATGATATAATACATCACTCATTGGGAATTTCCTAGGTCATCACGTTAGTGCGTTTTGATGTGGATATCAACGAGCGATATACAAGTAATAGTTAAAGATTTTATAACTAGAGTCATTACAAATAAATCACTCAGCACTGATATCTCAGATACGATATAATAGTCTCGTGTAATGATAAATGTTATAACAGTAACCAGCTGTGGAGAAGATTACAATCAAATACTTGCACCCTTTACATTTTTTATTTTTGGTTTTTTTAGATGCTAGGGAATTTTTAGTTTCGTCAAGTTTGCGGCATTTGATGATGGTAAAGTGGCGGTCGTGGGGGTCACCCCGTTTTGGAAGTGAAGAGAATGAATTGATATGTTATTGGATGATGATTCAAGGGGTTTTGTGGAAATATGAATTTGTGCGTGCAGATTTCTTGGGAATATGAATTTTAGAATATTAGAAATGTTCGGCACTAAACGGAGAACATTCAAACGTCACTTGGTAGAAGCCGTCGGTGCTGGAATATTATTACTCGTGTTCTGTGAATACATCATTTATTATGTTGTACTTGTAAGGGTGAGTATAATGTTTGACACTGGTTATTGAGGCATTGATATCAATTTAGTAGTGGAAGCAAAGAGGATTGACTAAAGTAGAGGCTCAGATCAGAGATTATAGGGGAGATAAGCAGGGCCAATGTAAAGTGTTCAACAGCAAAATACAAGGCGGTGGCGCATGGACTACGATGGAGCGTATGGAACTGTTGGTATGGTAGGGCCCGAGTATAAATTTGTCGATAACTGGAAAGGGGTTCTCAATACGGTAGCTCCTCGCATTTTGTAATAATTGTCAGAAATGTAAAATCGAACATATTATAATCAATAGTATATAATGAATGCAGAATCTAATAATCTGAAAGTCTTTTCCTTTTTCTCGACATATTTATTATTGACACATAGGTCAAAAAATTCATAGAAAATCCCAGCGCCGTCGCTGGAAAGCTCTATAATTTTCCAGTGATTCTGTTGAATAATTGTGCAGATTTTGTTTTTTTTTTACTATGATAATGTTCGATTATATATATTTATTCCCCCCCCTGAGTGAGAAAGGAATATGTATCGCGCTCGCTCCCACTCATTTTCGTCTCCGTCGCGTTGGCACGTGCCCGTCCTCCGCCAGACTTAACGAGTGCGAGTGAGAAAGAAAATAGAGAAGAAGGAGAGAGAGCACTTTCCAACTCGTTTGAACGGTTGGAACGTTTTCGTTGTTCTCCAGCGATCTACACATAATGGGATTAATTCAATAATAATAGATTAATGAATAAGATTTTTCGCAGATTATTGCGAGATTTAGATGAATGGTTTGCCTCCTTCAGTGACCATAAAAAATTGTCTCCAATCGACAATAT